ACCTTTCTCATAAACGTAAATACTTGAGGATTATTATAGAATAGAGATTTCCGCAAGTCTTCTACAGTTCAAAACAGTTGTATGTGTCGGATAAAATGTGGTAATTTTTAGAAAATCTGACATCCGTAAAACCCTTAAAAATATGTTAACCCTGTAACCTTTTTCATTACATTTAGCTGTGAGTGCTTTGCAGAACGTCGGACTCGATCTGTCCGTCAGTGAGAGTTAAGGCTGATATCTGTCGCAGCTTGCGATTGAGTGGACTTCATGGTGTCCTTGTATAGAATAGCAAACGTGTCCATTGGTTTTTAAAGCTTGAGTGGCCGATACTTAACGTCTTCCACTGAGTGAGTTCACGTGGCTTAGGCGTAACTGCTTGAGATGCAGGCTTCATGTTTCCTCGTCTAGTGGTACCTCGCAAAGTACTTATTCCCGGCAAGCAGAGGACGCTTTTGCCCATAACTATAGTCCGGAGCCTACGGAGTGCGAATTTCAATGCTTTGACGATTCAATATGGAAGGCGTGATAGCCTGACGCATCGTGTACGACTTGCTGCCCATCAGAGCTTAAATTGTATAACGGTCATTTGGCGTCGCCAGTTTTTGTGTGCTTCGATGCACAGAAAAGAATGCTTGCAGATTCTTTTGTGTACGCTTCAATTCATTCAAAAAGCCAACTTACTTAATGCGCGATAACAATTTGGCTACCTTGCGAATCCCACCGGAAATGAACTCAAAAAGTATTCAGCGTATTCGGTTTGCAGATTAGTGGTTTGAGATAAGACGCAGAACTAAACTGCATGAACTTTGTTTTACTTTGGTATACCTGACAGTCCGATGTAGGCTGACAACTGGCTGTTATCACTGACGATGACTAAAGCGATTTGAGTGGGTGGTTGCCACTCTACGAACGCAAGGAAACACGTATCGAATGTTTCTGATGGTAAAAGTCCGAGATCCATAGTGATAGGAGTAGTGCGGCCATCATCAAAAACGGCGCTATGTAACAGTTGATTTCGATTCCGTCACCAACGGCTGGGTAAAAGAAATCGAATGCTGTCCTACCACTGAGCCATGCCAAATGTTCTCTAAGCACTAATGCAAAACATCTCAAAGCCTCCATTAACGAAGGGGATGCGTCCCATCCTGACCAGGTGTTCCGGACAATTTCCCCCTGTGGCACGTCATCCATCGACTGGCCACCTCGTAGTTCCGGCCAACTAGGTGCAGCAACAACAGAAGCCACGCCGCACTCCTACGACTGATTTCTAGGTGCGTGTTGTTCCCCGGAGCCTCCCGATGATAGGCTGAGGCCCCAAAGTCTATAACAGCAAGGAGAGCAACTGAAGGATCAAGCTGTATGCCACCTTTTAAAGAAGAAACACGGGATCGACCAATCCATCGTCTGCAAGCATGTTGGTGAATGGATATCTGCAGTCAGTCATAGTTTCCTGTTTATTGGTAATACATCCACTAGCCATTCGATCGACTCACCTGTTCGTTTTATTCTCTTCCAATCGTCAACCTCCCCGAATTTCGGTTCTGAACGATGTGAATTTTGTCTAATGTTTATGTATTGTTTTCTTTGTTGGATTATTGTTAGTAAACTGAGCTGATTTAATTCTGCGTCATACATATGCGGCCGAATGTCGCAGGCATTTGTGACACCTGAACTTGTTATCTTCGATCGGCGAATCAAACACCCTTCCTTACTGATTATGCAGCTATGATCGTCATTCCTGAATAGAATCGAGCCTCACAGTGTATCATTCCTTCCTAATTCACTAGCGGTTGTTATCTCTCTAGTGAACAGAGAGAAAGTTACTTCTCACCGACTGCAAATCCAATTTCCTGTACGCTTCACCAGATACTTTTACACTTAAACTCCGTACCGGTAAGCGCCGTGGCCATCTGCATGGCGGTGGTCTCCCCTTGATTTCATTCAGTTCGGCTGGTCGGCTACTACGGGTACACAAAACATTAGTCGATCCGGTCGCCAAACGAATAACAAAGTGACCTGCCGATTGTTTTCAGATCTCGCCGAAATACTATGAGTTCACTATCGGTCCCAGGCACGTTAAAATATTTAATTTAACTAGTCCGTCGCAGCAGCACTATATCCTAGTTAGTTTACAAGTTGTGACGGTCTGCCACCGTCCCCCATGGCTCAGTATCATAAGCTACAGGCTGGTCGATAGCTGATAGCGGTCTCTGTAGGGCACTGAGGGAGTGCATACCACTAACGAGACCTATTGGGGCAAGATAGACGTCTGGTGCTTTTCCGACGACAGGGTGGTTCGATCAAAAGGTCAGTCTAACGAAAAGCAACACGGACAGGTCAGTATTTGTATTTTAAGAGTTTTTCCCTTATACAACACAAACGCTCGCTCGTCCGAACGCTGTTTCATCGAGCTCACATGATCTGTACCCCAATCACATTAGAAGCAGAGAAAGATTTCCTGTTCGAGACACTACAATCAAACAGGTATCCGATACAGTTTATAAAACGCATTAGCGACATGCCCAAGCGAGATCGTGTTCCATCAGTTCAAAAGAAGCAGATCTTCATCGAACTGCCATTCAAATGTGATCATATCATGAAAATCACCGCGAAGCGCATTAGTGCTTCAGTGAAAAGGGCTTACAATGCAGCTGAACTACGGTTGCTTACGTCAACAAGACCACTGCTCATGTGTTCCCTCAAGACACCGATAACGATGCAGTGCATATCCTATCGCTTATACAATTTCACTTGTAACTGCGAACGGTTATATCGGGCGCACTAACCGAAGTTTAGGTGTCAGGATGAATGAGCACATTCCTAAGTGGTTACGCATCCGGATGCGTTCGGCGACGGCGGAATCCTGATGCGCAATCAGCGACCCCACATTGTCACGCTATTGGAATCAATCATCATCGATCGAGAGCGGCCGCTACTTTGCGTCCAGAAACAGTTGACTGTGAATCTTAACCTACCGTAGTAGTGTGAGGCGTGACAATTGGCTAATTATTAATCTCATATGACTGCGTTTTTTGTATATCTATGATTTCTGCATGATTTGTGATTGAGGAGCTTGCATGAAATGACTTAGTCATCACACAGTCTAGGTCTTTGATTTTTCTGTTTGGAATTATAAAAGGAAATTCCATGTCAGATTGTTGCTTAAGTGGTCGCGCTTGCGAGCAGCTGGGAGGATCAGTTAAATTTCATCTAAAAACCTCTTACTCATAAGTAGTATTTCAAGACGTCGAACGGCATTAATGATACTCGGAATGAAGGTCACACCGAGTAATTACGCCACGTTAGGGGACGGCTGCAAGATTTTTTCATCGCTCCTCAACTTCCGACCAAACGTCTAGCCATTGATTTGGTGTCCTCAAAGCTCATATTTTGTGTGCTCTTTTATTGTGTCGTCAACGACCAACTACCTCGGGGTTTCACTCATGTAGGTTTAGTATTTGTAAACAACACGCGACTGTAGCTGGCTGACAACGTCGTGTTCATTGTAGACGATTGGAACTCGACAAACGGCACCACAGTACTAAAAGCTCTCTAGCACTCATTCACGCTTGTCACCAAATGTGGGCAGTACCATCACGAACCATTGTTTACTGAAGTAAATCTGGAGCGCAGTCCTTGCCGAGGGATTGTGTTGGGTCCGCATGACGTCTGACAAGTGTATTTCCGTCAAAGGTCATTGAGTAAGTATAAGTAATTGTAGCTATGCAAACACGTCGATGCCTGTAGTGTGTACATTCGATGGAAATGGGAGCAGATCAGGCCGGGGAATGGAGCGTTTGAACTGGCAAATATTGCAGCTAATCTTCAGTTGGTTTGACTAATCAAATATGCACTCGGTGCTCCTTTATTTCCGACAGACAGTACCTCTGAAGCAGGCAACATAGGAACAACAACACTTAATAGTGACTCGATTCCATGGTCTTCCGCTTTCGACGTGTCAATACGAGGTGCAACAATGTACTGAGACTGGCATGCGCCTTATTATTTTAAGCATAATTTCTGTCGTAGAAATCGTCCGGCACATATTTTTGAAGTTGGCCAGTGACCGAAAGGATAAGTCCTGCGTTATAATCACCGGTTCGAAACCGCATAAGTGCGGGAGAACTCGCGGTAGTCCCAGTCCACGCGCGACTGAGTAGCGAAGCGTCGGCACAATGTGCCAGCGTAATTCTGACACCTTTCTTTATTCTTCTACATATCCTCGAGAAGTTGGCCCATATTCACTTGGGTCCTCAACTATGTGAGGCCCCTTTCCGAGATTGTCCTCTTTTGGATACCGCACAATATAACAAAATGTCCCCGTGGGATCCTGCAGTCTGTCAATCAGAGTGAATTTCGGCTAGTGGAACTCTGCTTTTTGGGTTCAAAGCATTATATGGTTACTCCACGGGTCTTGGTTAATATATCGTTTGATCACTATGTGTTTGCAAACTGCCATGATGTCACTTGATAAAGTAAGGCGACTGGCTGCTAAGATGTCCGCCGAAGCCTGACGCTGCATTCAAAGTAGAGGAGCGCTGGCACCAATAATTCACTCTCTATATGGTACTAACCAGGCGATTAAAACAAATTGCAGTTCGAGATCTGTCCAAATCTATCAGTACTAACGTAGATAGGAGTTTGACCAAAATGAGACTATAAAATTTACATCTCATCAGATAAATGCTCCTCTGCGATTTGAAAGCTTATCTCGAAGGTAAGCAAAGTAGCTGCCTTCCAGATGAGTTATTTGAACTGCCTTTTATTTGACAAGCAGGATTGATGGTGAGTTATATGTGGAACTTCCTGGATGTATAAGAGTACAAAGCAGAATCATAGACTTAATGCTCCATGTTTCACAATCTGCTGAGAACACATTTAAAAGAGGCTTACTAACTGCATATAAAACCCGACTGCGTATCGGTCACTAGTTGCAAGGGAATCAGATTTGCTCACATTAATTGGTGGGGCCACGATGTTAGTTTGAGTACAATTACTGACATGATCTGGCAGTGGTGCTGGCTCGTTTTCTATTCGGGCAGCACCAACCTGATTTCCATGTAGCGTCCATTCCACACTATATTAGTTCCCCGCTGACATGAATCAGAACGCATTTTGGTCGATCATCGATGACGACGCACTATGATTAAACAAACACATGTGGCTGTTGTATTACTGACATTTCACATTGTTTCGTCGACAATATTGCAGCACTTTAATTATTGCATTGTAGATCTACGTACGAAACTGACATTCCCGTGTAGTGCTCACAATGGATGGGGGATCAGCTGAACATCCTGGAACGGACTTCGGTAACGCTACATCACTGGCCAATGAATTTGACACCCTGATGGAAATATCTGACTTACTAAACACAGGTGAGGATTACAGCCTATCCGTTAACTGGTACTCACGCAAAACTCACCCAGAATATAAGGCAACCTTCAGATTCAGCTGATATTGATACAGCGATCTGACTTGCTCATCGTATCCATATATATATCTTGCGGAGTTTACTCGTGTGCATCTTTGTAGTGTCCACAAAGTTGTCGAATCTCCCCGTTTCTGTTTAAATTCGTTATGAACTCGATCAAGTGGAATTTATCATGCTTGCACTGGAGTGCTGCATGGTAGAAAAATGGTTGAACTGGGCTATGCGAACATACAATCCTGCCATACAACAGTTGTGGCATAGTCAACCGTTGAAAGAATCCGGAGTGACTACATCCATCTGAACTGCTGGAGGCTGAGCTGTAAATTGTCTATCCATTTGGCTATTCCGTTAGTTGCACGAGTAAATATAAGCAGTAACCCCCGAAATTAATTCAGATAATGCCAGATGCAGAATTACATGCTTGCACACGTAACAGCTGTGCTACCAGAAACGTATCACCCCAGATCTGGATAACAGTATGTACGGGGAACCAGCTAGTTATACATAGCCCACCAGGTATAAGACAACTTCAACTCATGATTACCTGAGAAGCCTTGCTGGTGTTTGGTAGCACCAGTGTCCGCAGGCGTAGGGGCAAGTATTAAGCGGTGAGAACGAGGTTGGTTCTTCAGAGAAACAACTAATGCAGATTACGTGTGCTCGGTCAACACTTATCGATGGCGTTGCTTTTCTACTGGATGCAGGGTGGTACAAGGCCCGAGATGGGCAAAACCCGACTTGGCGCCGAGAAATAAACTCACTCGCAAACAAAATGGGCGCTGTTGGTCTGTCTTGTCTTGCAGGCCAGACTGTAGCCTTAAAAATCACAAGCCTGCCTTGTAATTCGAGGGCGCGGGTTCGTGCTTGTGTAGGGACCGGACGGCCCTCCCAGTATCCTCGGCCCACGTGCGATTGGTGTTAGTTGCGCGGCAGCGAAGCGTCGGTCCTGCGTACCGGCAAACTGCAGACGTCCTTTTACTTCCAGGCTGGAGTCCACGCAATGCGCATTGCGTTTGATTCGAGGCTCAGAGCATGGATCTTAGTCCGCATAATTGGCGTATCTGCTATTGTTTCCTAACCGGATTCCCGTTTAAGATGTTTCTGACAGTTATCTGTGAAGAGAAGCTGATTATAACAGTACTGTGACTTACATGGAAGCCTTCTCATGATTGCGAGCTGTTCGTGATGATGGCAGTGACAAGGTGTAACCGCCTTGACCCCCAAATGTTTGCCTAGAGTATTAGGGTTTAACGCTAGATCCACTCCGTAGATTTCTAAATAAATAAATACTGCAGCGAAGCGTCATTCCATACTTACTGGCGTACTGCTGCCGGTGGTGCTGTATAAAATCCCAATAAAATCATAGGTTGGAGGTAGGTTATTCTAGGAGTCACCTCGATGCTGAGCCGCGGCAAAGGGGTGTGATCTACCTCAGGAATGTGTCCCAGAGAACATCTCGTTTAATCAGGCCACAATGTCATGGTGCAACCCATGTCGCACTTTTGTGATTGATAACTAGGGACGATCTCAAACTTACACTTGTGAGACTGTTTCACCATTTCTCCGTTCATCGTCCCTTTCTCACTTTGCTACAGGTCTCGACAGCGAAGAGCTACTCATGTGTAGCAAACTTTTGGACTCCGGTGTGAACCCAGTCGCTCTTGCTATGATGGTTCATACGGCTAAGCAAGCGCGAATCAATGTATCCCAGTGATTAGCCATGTGCACCAATTATACAATAAAAGAAGATACAAACACCAGTTTTCTATTCACTTGAGAAATACGTGAAGTAAGATGGGTAAACAAAGCACAAGAACAAGCGCATTAGGGGAATTGATCACAGGAGCAAGAGCATAGTTGTTTAGCGAAAACAAAACACGTGGGTGTTGGGGCAGAGCTTGTATCATTGTCCAACTGCATCCGCAATAATCTGACTGATTGCTTGATTGGAAGAGCGAACCACAATCTGTAGGTTAACACCACCTTGGGAGCTCAGTGCTTGATTGGTTACAGCGTCGGGAACAATGCGGGCCAGTTTACAACGGGCGAGAACCTCGTCTCCTCCACGAAACACACCGGATAGCAACAATTGGTGAGAGGACCGTTGCTCCTGAGGCATTTGATCAGACCGTTCGCAAGGTTGTAATCCCAAGTGTTCGACCAGTTGGGATATGGCATCTGAAGAAAGTGATGCAGTTGTGTTAAAAGCGTGCATAACTTTAGATGGATTTCAGGTTGCTATGGCATGAGATGGAGCTATTCCCTACACTGGTGCTCACAAAAGTGGCCATTTACAGACCACAGAGCATCGCAGTGCGAAAAATGATTTAAACTTGGAAATTTTTTTAATGATAATAGGAGTACCATTATTCTTGATTTCCAGATCTTATGTGTCATCGCTTTGGTACTGCTGTAAACAGCACGTATTATCGAATAGACTAAGTCAGGCTATTAGTGCACGGTGTTAAAGATTACTTTAAACAATGTGCAACGGCCAACAACTAGAGACGGCGACATACCTTTAATGGTCTTGTGTTTGCTCAAGACGTACGTCTCTTCCACTTCAGACTCCTCACTCATCGCTTGCCAAGCCAGAGTGAAGTTACCCTTCAGCAACCGTTGGACGTGGTCGCTGATTCCGATGTGCAAATCCTCCAACTAGTAAAAATCACGCGGGTAGGATAGTTAGCGAATGCATTCCGCCGTGCGATGAATCAGAAATGTGATGGACACAAACAATTAACGCACCTGATATTCATCAGCGAGACCGGCATCTGTGGCGTCTGAATCCACATCCTTAACAACGAATTTAAGATTGTTGGTGAAGATGGTGGAATGGGATTCGAGGTCCTCTGGCAGCTGAACGAGAACGTAGATGTTATCCGGAGTGTTGTACTGCAAACTCGGGCAAGGGATCGTAGAGAGGACAACGAAACCATCGTTGTCCGGTTCGACCTCAATGGAAACATTTTCCAAGCGTTGGGTGGACATGGTATTCGTGCATTCGTACTGAAAGTGGTATTTAATACGAATGTCATGTTGCCGTAACAACAATACTAATGATTATGAGAAGAAAGAGTAAAATGTAATTTTAGTTTGCGACGCACGTGCCGGGGTTCGTGGCAATTCGCATCGAATTGAATTAGAAGCAGTGCTATTGTACGATATCAACCCGTCAGCTAGTAGAATGCTGATCACAAACTCTAGACAGACGGAGATAATGTGGCCTGACCTATTATTCCACGCAGATGACGTCGTGGGAATTGGTAAGGCAAAAGAGCTTCGCTGGATTGTCAACCAACATAAAGCGGCGCCAAAACTGAGTACGGTCAACCGATTCGAAAGCAACTGCTAATTTAAAAGAGCCGATCGTGATAGGTTGTCTACACTTGTGACACTGTAGGTTGGCTGACTTCCAACTAGTTGCTCGACGACGACCCAGGAACAACACAGCTGCCCTCGCCTTGGACGCCGCGATAACAAACTAATTAAGAACAAGGTCTGGGGAGAAGCCAGAGTCGTTGGAATGGAAGAATTAAAAGACAGAAATAGAGAGCTGAATGCGAAACAAGTAAGAGTATCTATCTGTCCATGTGATGAATCAGAAGGCCTCCGTCAATAAAGAGGGTGTGCACCTAAGTAGATACGCTCCGGAGTCGGTACCTATGGTCGTTTTATCGAATAGCCATCTAGATCGACGCTACAAAGTACGATGTTCATGGGGCAAAACAATGGACTGATCGATTGGCAGGTGTATTAAGAATGAGGCCCCACCGACAGGGGCGCGGTTTACTTGTCCAATCGTGATCAATGTGCCGAGGCGGTTGTGACGATAAGAGACTGAGACTGTATTTAAGAGCAAATAGAAAAGTTTCTGTACAACTCTATCGATTTATGAAAAATAAAAAAAAACATTTAACTGCGAATCGTCGGCGGCAGTGTTTGTTCAGTTAATCGTTTATCCTTTTTCGGTTAGGAATTCGTATTGGTGTCATTATTTCTGGGTATACAATATCTTTTTTGCGTTTTACTTGCACCGTTTCACAAAAACTCAGGTTTCCGAAACAATCGTCGATACTCGTTTTAAAGCACCTCACAGAATCTGTCTCTATTAATTGTCCTTGTAGTGTATTCCATAAGTTTACGATTCTTCGTTCCACATAAACCTGATGTGACACCTAGTTCATGCAGTGGACCCTGAGTTTGTAACGGTCTCCTCGGGTGTTACAAGGTTCCCGCAGGTGAAATATTGGAAGTGATTCAAGTGTAGTATTCGATGGGTCATAATAAAGTCAATTCTTACTCGGCAGTAGGATAGTGTGTAGAGTCCGAGCCTTTCACAATGTTTTTCATACGAAAGCTTTCGTAGACTCGGTATCATTCTAGTTGCGATATGCTGTATTTTCACCAGCTTTTCAGTTTCCCACTGGGTTATCGGATGGTAAGCTGGGGCACCGTATTCAAGGATTGGTCTAATGGGCGAGGTGAATAGACGAGGGACCGTTTCTTCGGACCATGTGGAGAAACTGCGCCGTAATGCCCAGAGCAGACGAAGTCCCGCACGGTACAATTTCTCTGTATTTTCTAGTGATTTCATATCATGTCGAGGGAGCATTCCTAAGTCTCTGACAGATGTGTTAGGGTGGAGCAACTGGCCGTCCAAGATATATGATCGAGTGGCTGGACGTCTGGTGATATTGATAAACTCCGACTTGCATTAAGAGGTAAATACATTTCAGTGTACCACGTTGACAATCGCTTTAAGTCATGCTGGAGGCATGCGCAGTCGTCCTGGTTCTCAATGATCCTCCAGATTTTCAAGCCATCTGCAAACTGGTCACATGGTGACTGGAGCTGCTGCGGAAGATCGTTGATATGAATAGGAAATGATACTAGCCCAAGTACAGTTCCTTGATGCACGCCACTAGTCGATGGGAACCAGTCTCACAGGTAGTCATTGACCTGTACTCTAAACTTTCGTCCCACAATAAACTCGTGTAACCACTGAAATGGCGTGCCACCGATTCCGTATGTCCTCAGTTTATGAAGGAGTACCTCGTGATTCACTTTGTCAAACGCCTTATCAAAGTCAATGTACACTACGTCAACATCCTTCTGTTCATTGAGAGCTCGTACTTACTGGTGGTTTGCGTACATCAAGTTGGTAATGCAGAATCGCCCTCGCAAAGCCGTGTTGCGCTGGCGTCACTACGTCCATCGATTCGAAGAACGAAAGCAGACACTTTTTCAAAACCTCGAGAACTTTTGATAATATCGAAGTCAAACAGATCGGTCTATAGTTCTCTACTTTACTCGGATCACCACCCTTGGGAAGCGGTTTCACTATTGAGCATTTCCAGTTGTTGGGGACAGATTATTCAGAGAGTGGTTTATTGAATAGCTTTGTCACGGCTGGTGAGATGATAATCGACAGTGACTTAAGTATTAGTGGGTGAAGTCCGTCTGGTCCGGGGGGTTTTGCACCATCGAGATTGATGAGTAGCTTATAAACTTCGACTGCATCACATTGTAGGCTGTCGAGCAAGACTGGCGCTACCTGTGCCGGTACTGAAACAGCCACCGGTTTACTGGAAAATACAGTGAGGAAGTGTGTAGCCAAGGGGTCCGCGCTTGAAATGGGCGTCTGTCTATCCAAGCTCTCTAAGACCGGTAGGTCGCCCCCAGGTTTCAGTTGACCTTTGAAGTAGGCAAATATTCTTTTGGGTGCAGTCATGGCTGAGGATGCTAGCTCCTCTTAGAACTGCCGGTGTTTCTTGATCTTTACGGCGTTACATATATTTCGCGAGGGCGTTTGACCCCACGTGGTGAACAGTTTGTTTCTGCCTAGTAGAGAGCTTTTCCCGTAGTTGCTGGCGGTCGCTGTGAATTCTGATGTCTTGCACCGCGACATTTATCGCATATAACTCGAAAAACCCGATGTCGAATGTCCACATTTTCGAAATACCTTAACGGATAAGCCAATGCACGAAATACGGAACAAAACATGGCAACCAAAGTATCGAAGTGCATGAGCTTTATGTCCAACAACTTTCGAACACGAACCACAAGTAGTTTGAGACGGTATCACAAGACGGTGGACACAGATGGCCAATCAATGAGATCTTCGGAATTAGCCAAAGAATATCCACCAAATTTACACCGATTGGAAAATACGCCAAGAGAAGGATATTGGTGCACAATTCACACAGAGAGAACACTTATAACACAGTAATCCGAAGCAAAATTAGCATCCAGCACACGGCGATTCAAAATTCCGGTATAACCAGCGTTAATAACAGTGGAAAAAATGACAGAAAACGCAATGAAATTCCCAAACAGTGTGTCGAAAAACGGAGCTAGAAAAGCGTGAATCATGCTTAAGTGATAGAAACTCAATTAGTAAGTAGAACTCAAAGATGCAATTGAGTCACACCGATGCGCGCATCCATGAAGAGCGGATACGTGATCTGGTGGTTCGAGCACTTGGCTTGCAACGTCCGAGATGCGAGGGTGGTTTAATAAAGATTTCCCCTGACCGGCTACCCATGTGCTGAGAATAGCGAAACTTGGCAATTATTAGTCATTCCCCACTTTCGTACTAGCCAGATTTACACATTTCTCCCATAGCTTTATACAGGTGAATATACCTCAGATTGGGACAAGAGCCATCGTCAGGAACATGATTTTTCTTCAGAAATGACTTCATATTCGGAAAGTGAAAGTCAGAGAGAGCAAGATCCATGGAGAGTATGAAGGATGAGGAAGTATTTCATAGCAACATCTGGGTGGCCTTTGCGTTGTGAACACGATCATTGTCATGGACCAGCAAGATACCTGGTTAGCATGTCACGATTAATGGAAGCTGGTTAGGAGATCTTTATTGAACGACTCTCGTGTGTTGGAAACCTCGCTTCTGCATGAGTATGGGCACCCCGGCAGTATTCCATGCCATGCACAGCCGTATGCAAGCAAAATGGCGGTGTACCGAGTTTCCACCCAATCAAGTGGGGTGTCTAAAAACGGAACACAACGAGCAAACTGGCGAGCACACAGGTGAACAACGTAGGCAGTTTCGGTAAATATAGACGATCCAATCAATTTGGTCCAGTTAAACAGTTGTGACCCGGGGACCGAAGAGTACTGCAGACACTTGCAACGACTCTCATCGCCAACACACAACGACAATTAATGATTGTAAAGAGAATGAGGTAGAATGGGAACGGAATACAAAAAAAGGTAACAGAAATAGTGGGCAAAATTAGCCGAGGTAGAGGACCAACAGCCAGATACACTTGTTAACATGGGGAATAGTCGACTTTGTTGGCGCTTGTGTTGTGAGTATGTCTGGCCCTCCCTCTCCCCTTTAACTCCTACCTTCAACAACCATTTGGTTTTTTTGGTTTTCATTTGATATTCTGTTTTAATTTTCACATGTTTTTTTTTCGATAGAAGCACAGTGACTGAGGTGTTCCACATCTTTAGATAAGACGAGCAATGCCAAATGCAAAGAAGCCGATAAATTGGCTCTACTAGATTGACAAATGTCGGTTAGTCCGGAAGATGCTGCTCTGTTAGCTACATAAGAATCGAACCGCTATCGTGTGGTTTCTGCACCGGAGTTCTCAGTGTGTTGACAATCGTGTAGGAATGAGAAACAAAAGCGGACGAGATTGGTCGTTCGTTTCGTTCCAGTCTAAAAATAGCACAGAACATACCAAAGCAAGCGGAACTATGCACAGGTAGCTTGGTTCCTGGAGGTGATTACAAGTTTGTATGCAAAATTATCTTCTGTCCCGTAGAGAAAATTTGCGACCTAAAGATATGCCTGACTGCTGCATACAAAAGTGGACACATCAAACTGCCTCCTGTGCAGCCGTGAAAAAGCTACTGTAAATGTTTGCGCCAACCGCGATGTCAGAAGTAATCGGCACAACCAAACGCTGAGCTTCGCACGGGGCGGTCTTACCTAGGGGATTAAAGTGGCATATTTTCCTCATGAAAGCAACTAGACGTACCTGGAGCACCATATGTTTCTGGAAGGTGTGCTTGATACAAGTGACAGCATATTCCGTATCCTCTTCACTCAGTTCAACAGGTTCGGAAGACTTGAATAAAGGCCCAAGCCCAGTCAACTGTGGAATTGCACCCAGCTGTTCAGCGAACTTCTTTGGAACCTGGTTGCTAGCGCTAATTGCGGCTTTCGAGTCAGTGACCAAAGAACGTTCTGGTATCTTGGCTGAAACAAATTGTGAAATCTTTGAGAGCAACAAAAACAAGAACATAAAATGATAAAACGCTAGATTCTACCGGATTAAAATAGATACACTACCAAATTGTGTTTTTAATGTTACCACCGTGACAACCATGAATCTAACTGCGAATTTGAATGCTTTTATGACGATCAATAGCAAGAAACAAGTCATCGTTAGCCGTACCTTCAAGAAGAGTCCCATCCCCGAGGAGAGGAGCGTCGGGAACCGATGGAGGAGCAGCCACCGGGACAGTAGACAAAGAAAAACGACCGGCCGCTGGTGCATGGGAATCATGAAGGTAATCCGACAGAGCACGTTCAAGGCCGGATGGGCTGAGATGCATTTCTTCGGCGAGCAAGTAGGTTGATCTCAGCGCAGTATCCTTGGATGACAGTATGTGGTGATAGAAGGCCGCGCGGTCCCGGACTTCATCGTCTTCATCAAGCATTATTCTGCAGAGAATAAAGGAAAACAGAAAGGTGCTGGATCTTGTAACATGCCCACAATCGTATAGCAATTATTTTACGAAATTTGTCATTGGCAATGTACAACACGCAATGGATGCCAGAAGTATTGTATCGATTTTAGGAACTACGTCTGTGTCGAACGCGAAAGCTGAGGAGTGAAATGCGAACAGACCGATTTGGTGAATAAAAAAGGAAATCGGACAAGTAAGAGTGGATGCTCCCAACACCGCTATCAGCCATGTCGAAAAGCGCATCTCCATTTAGGGGTGTTATTAATCTTCAGTCCTGATTTTTGATAATGTTAAGGTGGAGTAATGCTGCCGAGCGACACTCCTCTGTTCACGAGCTTTATTCCCCGGAATATAGTGTAACAGGCCGACTTACAAGGCAATGAAGAACACACCCAGCTCGGGTGACTGTGGATTACACGTGCATACGTGGGATACAAGACACATGGAATCCCAGCACACTTTCATCGGTGGAACTAGACGGGACCCTTGCAGTCACGTTAAGTTACAAATGCATTTCGCCATATTCGCCGAAGATTCATTAGTTTTAAACGACCCAAGGTAACAAGTTCGCAATCTGTCCCTACGAGCACTGAATGGGACGCCCATGGCTAGGGACCTACGGCTGAGCTGACTATCGCCACAACCATAAACGCCCACTGCTGAATGGGGTGATGATCATCGATCTCTTCTCTATCTCTACTACGACGAGTGGACTATAACGCGATGAGACGACATCCAAGAAACCGTAATTCATTCGGCTACACGAAGCCAAGCTCAATAAGTTACTGGAGAACTACTCATAACATAAGGGTTAAGGGTTCCGACATAGATAAGGGTGAGTCCAACATCCATCCATCGAATGGTGCACAAAAGCCAATGTCGAATCACCTACAACGGCTAGTCCTCCGAATTGGAAAAGATCTGAGATAAGTCGACCTGGTCTAGCTGCTTTAATTTCAACAGTCCAATCTCACGTTTGACTCTTGCGCGAGAGAGCAGATCCAAAGAAATGAACCAAGAAGCAGGGCAACCAATAGCCGATAAGGAAGCTGTAAGTACGGTTAGTTAAATTGCCTTTAACCCAAAGCTCCAAGCGTCATGACAAGCTGTTTCGATAACATCAGGCCTTCCGCTGTCCATTGGTCGGCACGTAACCTAGAGGTAACAAGCTTGTCTCGTATGCTTGCAGCGCGGGTTCGAATTCGCGTAGGGGTGGGCGTCCTCGCGGTATACACAGCCCGCGTGCTACTGGTCGTGGTCGCACGGCAGCGAAGCGCCGTTACGGTGTACAGCTGACAGATCATCATCGCTGTCCGTTTCCCGAGACCGAATAACTTCCGACGATAAATAAGAGCAGCGGCTGCCTCCGTTGATGTAAAATGAGAACACCAGGTTTCACCGCCTCTCTTCAGAATAGCACACAATAGCACACAATGCAAATGAGATCTTGGTGGGTATCATAGTATTTCCCTTCAGTCGGAACGTGTTGGCGAGCATCGGGAAAGTCCAGAGACTGTCTCGATAACTTAATGCTAGTGAATTCTGGCGACCCAGTAAACTTCAGATACGTTCAATGAGCGATAACTCGACCCGGATGTAAGCGCACTTTGGCACGCATTCAAAACATCCAACATGACAAGTGTCTGGGTGCACATGGCATCCCCGCGGGCGTTCGCCAAAATATACACATAAAACTGTATGGTCGGAGTCTATGGTTGTGCCACAAATCGTACGGTATTTTGAATACAGCCTATAGGCCGATGACCAAAAGGATGAGGCGTCTGATTTGTGACCCACAACTCACCGGCTTGAATCTGTTTAGGTGCAAACGACTAATGGTGATCGCATGGCAGCGAGGCATCGGCACGATGTACCGGTGTTTCCGTTCTCAAATGATAACTGATCGCGATGCGATAGATGTGCTGGTCCGAAAATGGGGTGCAGCATGTCATCCTCCGGCAAGTGCTATGTCGCAATTTAGTGCCCCCGAGAAATAAACGAGTATTTTCACACAAATGTAGCAACCGCTCACCGATACCCATAAGCGGGCCACCTATATGCAGCTCGTCAGTGGACAATTTTACAATTTGAACGCCCTAATCACCAGCCAGAACCATAGTATCTGTACTTTCATGGGACACAGGAGCTCGTTCAACCATCTTTCATCGCGCTACAATTTGTGGGGGCGTAGGCAACAATGATAAATAGACACGTGCCGTCCTCGTGCCACTTCCAGGCTTTGAACCAACCAACCAGTCGGACGGCATACATCCAGCGACTGATTGGAATCCAGTTGATAAAAGCAGCTTAAGCCCGGGGCTCACAGCAATACCTGCACAATGGACCAACCGGCATTCGAAGCTGCGTTACCTCTGCTTATGACGCGAAGAAAGTCGCAAAATAAGATAGGTTTCTGATAAACAGCGGGTATCGATCGAAACGACTTCTAATGTTCGAACAAGTGTTGCCTGTTAGCTCAATTGCGACGAAGTGCGGATTAACTGCATTGTTTCGATTGCTCGGACATCGGCGGAGTCGGAGCGTGAGTAGAAGAAAAACCGCTATCAAAAAGATGGAGAGGACAGTGATTGTAGTGTCGAAGAGGAAGAGTATAAAAATGGTTGGGATGGGACGATAGGGATGGAAAAGTGCAAAAGGCGAGTGAGACGATGGAAAAGCATACGCAACGTCCACTCTGGCAGCTCTTGGCAAATAAGATGCGAAACCGCTGATGGCGGTGATAAGATAGATGCAGGCGACCACAAGCAGATTTCCAGAAAAGTGTGCATCCGTACTCCCGAGTTGAACATGGGCCAGTTTTGGGAGGTATGACTCTTGAAGAGATGGCAGTATTCGTAGATCGGGGTGTGGATGATGGTGGTGGGTTGTTATCCGAGTTGGGCAGTTTGGCCAAAATACCCTGTGTGCTTAGTAGAAACATTGCATTGAGAGACCATAATTGCCTTAAAAAGCAATAGTTCACATCGAAACTGGATACCGGTCACACCCGACTGAATGCACAGCACAACGCAAATCAGAAAACGTAGCTTTCAGTCTTATAATAAACTGAGAATCCAAAATCTAATCCTCAAGGAGAATGCAACGCGCACGACTTTACAGCCGAAATGTAGCTTCGAAGTACAATCAAAAGAGCGCCTCATACCTTTGCAATAGTACCAAGATGCTGGGTAACATTTCGGAGTTTTGGGCAGCAAATCTAGCCAAGGCGGTAGTCGCGGTGCATTTGACCGGGGCAGACTCCAGCATGACGCGGTTGTAGATGTATCGAATGAACTGCCGCGGTCTCTTGAGAAAAGGACCTTCCCGTCCAATTAGGTGCAGAATGCGCTGGGTCAACTTCACGTGTTCGCAATCCTCGATAAATTCGCAGAGTTGTAACAGACCTAAGAAGAGAAATAAAAATCCATCCTGTCAGTGTGTCAAAGCAAGAGTATGCATATAAATTATAGGACAATAGTCGGAATCGTACTTCGGTAGACATAACAGGAATCCTTGTTCTATACACGTACACAGTACGTGGAAGCACTGCGTCTGGAGCTATCGGTCGTCAAAGTTCAAACAAGCGCGAGACAGCCGAACAAAGAGAGGAACTGTAGATGGCTGAAGTCGCACCACACATACACACAGTGCGGGTCCGAAGGAATGTGATGAGAAGAGCCGTAAGTGGGCACCACGATTCCTCAGAGGTCGGGCCACTTCTATGATAGAGCCATGTTATGCACACACATGACGACAAAGTGTTGGACACCGGGACAAGAAAAAAGGGTCATATCACATGTCTGCTCAGACTAAGGCATTGCGCAGTCGCGCCACGGGTCAAAGTGACATCGAGTAGATAGTCAACATGAGATAGGACGGTTAGAAATATCAAACATCTGGGTTGCATCAATGGAGCGCCGGTAATTCCACTCTACCGGGCAACCATCCGCGGTTACATGTAAGCTGGGAAAGCGTCTGCGTCAACCAAGATCCGAAATTACTGTGCACCTGATCGGTTGAGCAGAAAGTGTCCAAATGATAACAGTTAACCCTAAATCATCCTGGACAATGTACTGCAAGAGAATAGCCGTATTTCATAAACTTAAGCACACTGAAGAAACAAATCAATTGAAAGGTAGATTTAAGGAAGCTATAAAATTTTCAATTGAAACCTCGAGAACTGTCTGAAATGGTCTACAAGATCGGTTGTATCTGGCACAGCTTAAACGCAAAACGTTAAAAAGACCGGGGCCCTTCGTGAATTCCTTCTTTTCGGTCGTGTCACCATGAAAGGCTGAACCCATTGTACCAACAATACGAAGCCTAAACTAATTACGTCGTATGAAAACTAAACTAGAAACTACGAACAAATAAACCTAGACTTAACGCACGGTATGGGCAGAAGAATAAAACGAAGTATCCTGTAACCGTGGTTCTATAAGGCATATTAAATACAGTACGTGACTTATGAATAGATTTTGCAATTGTAGTGCAAGTAGACAGGAATTGTACGGTGTGCGGCGGCGTGCGAGTATTTGGGCAGTGTCACAGTAACATAATATGAATGACCTTGAAGCGTCATGGATATGTCAGTGATCGACTGAAAGGAATAAATATACGATATGGTAACCGATTGTAGGACACAGTAAAGCAATGTAAAATGAGCAGAATAATCAGGGAACAGAGATACGGTGTCCTCAAGTAAGCAATCCATGTTGGGGATACATCAAAGTTCCTTTTGGACTTTACGCCCATAATGCTACGATACGAGTAGGGCAGCGTGAATCGGCCCTTTCGCGAAATGTAAAAAGATGCACAAAGAATTCCTCTACTTGATTTGCTCAGTTCTGTTATTCTGCTTCATATTCGGTGTCAGTTTTGCGCGTTTATTTTACTTCGAATTATGTGTTGGTCGTTTGATATCCCCGGTGTGCCTGCGCTTGATGTGAATGCTGACAAGGTGTCTACCCGTCTATTATCCACCACCTCTATTGCTGGCTCCGAAACTGAATTTTTGATGAGGCAGACAGGGTGCACGGTCCTCGTTGCCATGCACCGCTCAAAGAGAGGTTCCATGCATCCAGTGTGGAGCGGGCCACGGCACAGGCACTGCCTTGTGTACGTCTGGTGCGCATTGTTTCTCAATTAGGCATAAATGCCTCTGCTGTGCTTGTCGAAGAAGTGTGGGCCGGCTCCGCTGATGAAACGTGGCTCCCATCCACACGCCTCCCGGTCTTATTCACTTGATATATGTGTGGATGGTGCGGCGCAATCCACCCACGGTCCCTCTGTAGGTGTAGCCGTCCTGCGGCTGTCCTATGGAGGCCGCAGTGACAGGGAAATCCAGAGCCGGATGTATATATAATGAACAATGCCAGTGAAATTGGCACGGTGCCACAACATATGATTGTAAAAGGGTAACACTGATTATTCCCACAATCAATGGTACTGCGTCCAAACCCATGGTGGGTACGCCATCGTGCAAAAAGTTGTACAAACGATACACACAAAATATCCGGCATAGACGATGGTTTTTGATAATGCCACAAAACATTCACAGCGTCCTCAGCCTGACGGTCGAGAACGCTTTGTCACAGCCATCCTCGGTGTTGACCCTTCACACTTTGAGCTTGAGTCATTCGTTGGCCACCGTGCTGGCGCTCTGGGTCAAAATCGGTGAGTAGAAAGAGCACGGCGACCTAATCGATGGTTAGGCTCACGAAGCGTGTCTATGTCACGGGGGCCTTTGCAGTGAAATAATGTAACTCAGTTGTTGATAGAGTCCAAAGTCGGCATTGATGTGATCTGGTGTTCACCAGCGGTGCTAGAAAAACGAACACTCGAAACACAAGTTTCCGCGAACCAGCCACTTCCCGCAGTCATGGGGTGGCACTAACGGTATCCTACCACATGAGTTGCGCAATATCGCAATTTGGTTGCAAGCTATGTTTAATCGCCGTCAGCCCCCATGGCTCAGTGGCACAAGCAGTCATTGGTCACGGGCTCGGATAAATGCGCACTACTGACGAGCCCGATAGGACAAAACGGCCGTCTGGTGTTATTCCAGGTATGTGAAGCACTATCTGGCTTGAAAGCTGCTGCAAAGTATCTTCGATTGATTACATCAATCCCCAAATCATGAGTGACATTTATATTACAAATTAAAGAATAATAGTGTAAAACACTACCCAAGTTTTTTGCTTCTGGAATGTTCTTCACGATCGATTCGATGACAGACACAACAGCCTTCTTGAAGACGTAACCAGCAGAGTCGCGAAGTAGACCAGAGAGGAAATTCAGCAGTACGCCAAACTTTTTCGGATACTTCGTTGCCAACGCGCGAATGGATTCAAGCACGACAATCTTGAATTCGTCGGTGATTTCCGTCATAAACGGGCAAACATGCTTGAGCAAACGTTCGACATTACTTTCGCTCCCAGTCTGGGAAATCAAGAGAAATTAGTAACCAGGGTGGATAAAAAAACTTATTCGGTCAATTTGAGTGGAAATAAACCTAGAAAAGTTGAGGCTTAAAAGACAAAGAAGGTGGAACGTCTGATGTTTTAAGCCGCACTTTCGTAAACACAGTTCAGTTCAGTCAGACAACTAGGATCCGGATGACGATAACTAAAAGCGGAGAGAAAAGTGGGGTTGAAGGTAAATAGGCTAAGAATTGAGTGAACTTAATCGTGATGGCATATTAACAGCTAGAAGCCGAATGTAAGAGCGCTGTCTGATAAGATCTCAAACCGGTGGTGTAGTAAGATGTTGCACGTAAAAAAGTGAGAAGTATCCGCAAAGAAATGCTAATGAACATTTTTACCTTACCACAAGTTGTTTTGAAAACGAGTACGTGAAAAACAAAAGATGAGAGCGAAATTTCAGTGGCTTGCATTACATTCTTTACCTCAAGAAGGTCGACCCGATCATTAGCCTGCCCGGTATTCCGAGAGCACGGGTTCCAGCTTGCGTATGGACAGGGCGAATCTCGCAGTATACTTAGCCCAAATGAGACGGGTGGTGATTATGCGGCAGCGTAGCGTCCGTACTGCAAGTACCGGCGTACTGCTGATGCTCTTTTGCCCATGAAGGCAGAGAAGCAACACAAAAGGCCATCGAGTAAATGCGAAGCAGACCGATAGCTCGTACTCTGAAATAGCTGTCAGTCATCAAAATGAGAAGAACCGAGTGTTCGAATGAAGAACCTGTATCCAAGGTGTAGCTTACTAAGTTGCGTCGCTTAGTAGTCAACCGATAGAGCAAATATACTGTACAGATAGGCAGACTAATAGAAGGCCTGGGTGGAAACACCAGTGGTGAGACTTGTGCAGAAGGTGACAAATGAGCGTGTGCCAATAAGTTAATCACCGTTATTACTGAAGTCTACTCAGAAGCGGAAAATGCAGGATCCTTGGTTGGAATATTCATGATCCTGAGTCGATCACAGACTGGCTAAGTAAATAAAGGATACAATAGCGTTTAATAAACAACATAAGCGTTCAACGCCTAGCGGGGCAGGACAGAAATATTTGTCACGAATCACAATTAGAATACCGTTCGTCTATTTATGACCACCAATCAGATATTGTGCGGGTAACGATGAGGTGAAGCCGAAGTTGGTCAGATTGGGCAGACATTAGTATGCAGAAGAAAAAGATGGTATCGGTGGGATGCTTGAAGTCGTCTGCTACTAGGTGTTTGCTCAAATAACACATGGTGCCGGGTGTGATTCATGATAATGCAGAGCAATGAAGGACGCAATGAATCTATCTTGATGATATCTAGCTAATTGTGAATGTGCGCTGATCGGTCAATGATGAAAAATCCCACTCCAGACGTCCGAACTGTGGATGGATTTCTGAAGTGCAGATTAATCCGAGCGAATTAGTAAACTGGTTCCGCTGATAATGCGGCCTCAGTCTATCTGTCCCACTCCAAAGTACAGCATCGCGCCGTAATGTGAAGACGATGTGGAACATCCGAGTGCTATTCCAATTCACGTGGAGCAAGAACCCAAGAAAGCCCATACTTATTGAGGCAAACAACAAGAGTTGATACGTTCCCAATCGCATCTAACGGATCGTTAGTCTGCATATATTTATAAAGCTTGCACTCATCTGGTGAATCTCGTGAATATGCGTATGATGTTGTAGTCATACCTCCAGCTTTTTATGAGTGGATGTGAACCCGTTCCGCTGAAACGACACGGACCCGATGAAATTCCTTCGTCGTCGCTGAAAAAGGTGACACATCTTTGGTCGATCTATGCGCACTATACAATAGTATTTGGACACTGAAGGTCTACCTTCAGACCGAAGGTTGGCCATTTTCATTCCCATCCTCAAGAAACGTAACGAGAATTCGCACAATAATCATCGGAGCACCTGTCGTATTTTCATCACCTGCAAGCAAATAGCGAGTATAATATTAAGAAGACGCAATAATCACTGTAAGAACCGGATCAGCGAAAGCCAGGTTGGCGTCTGCCCTGCACTAAGCAAATATGCTTCCTTGTGTTGCAATAGCAACACATACAGCCGACCTACTGCGGTGGTTTCATCAACTTGAAAGCATGACGTGAAACAAGAAGAGAAAAGAATTCCTGGAAGCGTGGTTCTCAACAAAAGATTCGATCAACATGCACATCGAGATTGACACAGTTTACCAATCACTCCGACGGAAAGAACTTAGAGAAATTATGAGACACCGCTGAAATAGGAACAACCCGAGCAACGACCTCCGCCACGGGGAAATGGGTAGAGATCACGGGACACAGATCGAAGCCGTCGCTTTCGAAGTCACCTGCACACCGATCACACACCGACAATTCAATCAGTGAGATTACACTCCACATCTCGACGCACTGATGATGCCGCATCGCATCGCGGTGAAACGTTTGCAAACAAATTTCCCAGCTCGGCGAACAAATGAGCAACTGAATGTTGTGATACTGCCCATACATGAACGGTGTACAATGGAAACACTTTTCTAAGTAGATGGAAATTGGGTGTTGCCCACCCGAAAACACTGCACAACCACGACGCGTTTCGATGTAATTTCATCTCATCAGGTGGAGACAGCAGGCCTCGATCCCGCGACCATTGGAATAGTAGCCTAAACCACTACCACTTTGGCTACCGGGTCACGGTGGGCAACGCTTTTGGCACAACGGTAAATGTATAATTGGATGGTCAAGTTTGGACTACACGTTGTGTGATTGGATTGCGACACGCAATCTCAATATAATGGACTGTGATTCACATTGAAATGAACCTTAGTCACTGCGATCACTGGGACCGTATTCAAAGTAGATGGAAATTGGGTGTTGCCCACCCGAAAACACTGCACAACCACGACGCGTTTCGATGTAATTTCATCTCATCAGGTGGAGACAGCAGGCCTCGATCGCGCGACCATTGGAATAGTAGCCTAAACCACTACCACTCTGGCTACCGGGTCACGGTGGGCAACGCTTTTGGCACAACGGTAAATGTATAATTGGATGGTCAAGTTTGGACTACATGTTGTGTGATTGGATTGCGACACGCAATCTCAATATAATGGACTGGGATTCACATAGAAATGAACCTTAGTCACTGCGATCACTGGGACCGTATTCAAAGTAGATGGAAAATGGGTGTTGCCCACCCGAAAACACTGCACAACCACGACGCGTTTCGATGTAATTTCATCTCATCGGGTGGAGACAGCAGGCCTCGATCCCGCGACCATTGGAATAGTAGCTTAAACCACTACCACTCTGGCTACCGGGTCACGGTGGGCAACGCTTTTGGCACAACGGTAAATGCATAATTGGGTGGTCAAGTTCGGACTACACGTTGTGTGATTGGATTGCGACGCGCAATCTCAATATAATGGACTGTGATTCACATTGAAATGAACCTTAGTCACTGCGATCACTGGGACTATTCCATCGAGTGCCGAGTTATAAATCGCGATGGATAACCATTCTCTTGTAACGTCAAGGTGATTGGTTCTAGTTCATGTTCGATTGTGTCTATTGAGCAAATTTGGCGAGCTCTAGCAAAAGTGGTACGTACTAGGGCTCGTTTATAGTTCATTGGGCAAAAGCTATTAAAGTTCAAGTATTGCCCTGTCCATGTTGCTTTTCTGTACACAGATCGGACGAGTGTACCATCTGGCTTTCTCTGTAAGTTAACATCTAAGAAGTGGAAAGATCCGTCGGACTCGTTTTCCATTGTGAACTTGATGGCTGGATGGCACATATTCAACAGTTTCAGTAAGTGTGAATTCAGTAAATTCTGTTATAATGTTGTTTCTTCTTGCTTTATTGAAACACTTTTCTGTTCGCAAGTCTCTCTAGCACGACTTTCAACTCCTGTGAGAGTATCCGGAAAGCTCTTGAGTTCCGGATTACAAGTAAAGTGCTTTAAGGCTGTTCAACACCCGTTTTCTATTCAAACAAGAGAGCAAAATAAACATGAATGACAGTTCCCTTAGCTTTCTTGGAAAGGAAGTTTTAACAACAGGCCAAGTAGAAAACATAGCTCTTTTTGCGTCCAACCCATACCGTGTGTAACTGATTCAAAATAAATTAACCATGAGCGTTTCAAGCCTCGGCACTTTCTTAGCATATGTAAAATACAGGAGTGGATTGATAGGTCACCGGTCCTAGTGACTATGGAACAGCCAGTGGAAGTAAACCATCGGTTCACTTATCGGTTGCACCGATTCTAAATATCGCATACGTCCACGTGGCTTCCCAGTGTGAATCATTTGTGAAGAGTGTATGATGTCAGCTTCTCGGTCTAATTTAGTGTAAAACGCTTGGATAAAGGCAACGTCACATCGTGGATCAGAGATCAGGCCACTTCGTAGACATCGAGAGATTCATCTTCGTTGATCACCAGTGTTTGCGGAGTATTCTTCACAACTGGTTGAATTACCGGGTCATTAACAGTGAAATCGGTGTTTGGTACTATGCTGAAGTGTCTACTAAACTTGAACCGCTTATGTTGGCTAGTTCATGTCCTCCGCATGCCCGTTGACTAATTTACACAGCTTTCATTACATGCCATCATTACACTTAGCTGAGTGAAACCCACGAATTATCCAGCTTATGACGTCGCATAGAAGGTATGGCAAAAATGACAGAACAACTTGGACTTCTTGGATAGAAGTCTCGGGATGAGCCACACCACCAGTGAGTGAAGACCCTATGGGATATGATTCAGTCGATGAGGCTGTTGCATCCAGCTACTGATGTTTCACTCAGACTAATTTTACTCCCATTTTCCTAACACCCACCTCTTTGAATTCGGTCTGCATCCTAGCAGCTCGTCGCCCTTACCAATGTTGTATTAAAAATTCAGCGAGGCGAGTCGTGGCGACTAGATCCACCGCAATTCGGTACCTATATCACAGTTGTCTGACTGAACTGAACCAACCCTTTCCCCTTACTAGAGTACTGGCGTATTGCCATTGCTGACGTTCGTGATCAGGAAGAAGGCACAAGCAGAATTCCACAAGGTAACGAGTGAAATCTTTCCAAAAATGAGTACACACGCGCAGGTGTCAAAATTTCACAGAATGAAAAAGGATCTGAAAGGGAACCGGAACGAGTAAGTATGCAAAAACGAAGGGCATGTTTCGATCTAAAAAAAACAAAGAAAACAAAAGGACCCACTTTGAGCAATGTAGTGATAGCCAAAGTGGCGATGCTTCTGTTTGGATCACCAATTAATTGCTCGAGATCAAGGTTACAAGCGGTGACTGCCGTCGGGCAGTTCGTGGCCACCGTGTTTAGGGTTCGAACTGCGGCATACCGCAACGCAGGTTTCGGCGATGAGCAAAGAAGCTGCAGCACGCTAACAGCTGAGGCCAATTCTCTGCTAGTCGCTCCTCTCAAGTTGATGATAGCTCTCGCGGCCTCGTAGATTACCATCTCCGATTTATGACGAAGGGAAGATTCCAAGAATTCGAACAGGGTGACGTTGTTCCTGTCAATGGCATTATGAACACATGAATAGAGTATACATACGTTGGTGTGAACAGACGCAGTTGCGCTGGTCAAGGCGGTAAAACAGCGGTTTGGGTTCTGTGCTATTGATAAATGACAAAGAAGCTTGCTAAAAGTAGAGTTCAGTACAAAGCGACAAAAGCCACACCGTACATTGTAGTCAAGTTTGTCAGCATTGATCTAAGTACGGAAGCGAGGTGGACTGAGCAGGCGGACTTAAGTAGGCAACACGATGTAAAGAGGAATAAGAATATGAAGAAAAAATTGGGCAGAGAAGTTGAAACACTGACCCAATGGAGAGAAGAACCAGTGACTGAAGTCACTGTACTTCCACCCGCTATATATGCACTCATCGGAAGTCCTCAAAAAGCAGCAACAGGTTTTCGAGAGTGCACCTGCTGTCGTTAGATCACTAACCACTGTTTCAACCAGACGAGCTAAGTCAATAAGAAACCCATCTTCAAATTCGAACAGCATCTGTTGATGTGGTGAAAAGTGAACTTCTTAACCGTAAAGTAGATAACGGAACAAAAGGAATCCCGTCTGTGGTGTCATGAAAGATCGATGCCGCAATGCGATTCGCTCGGTCTACACATAAGGAACAGCATGAAGTGGAACCACTTAACCCCACCTGTGTTACAAGAAAGCGGAATAATGGCAAAAAGGTCAATAAAAATGGGAAAATTAAAAGGGTCACAGCGCGAAAACAAGGCAAAATGCCAATCCGAGAGCCCCGGCAAATTGGTCACTATGTCACATCTGATGAGGTAGCTAATAAATAGCGTGAACGCTCCCGAGACACTATCCATGAAGAAGGCACTCACCGACTTACGCAGTCGTTCGGTTAGGTAAGTTCTTCTAGCCAACTAAAGCCTGCGCCCCGAGGTGCGGCGGATCCAGCTACCTTGATTCAGGTCGCTCACATTATTGTTACTACTACAATAATAACAATGCTGGAAATTAAAGTAGTCAAGAGCCAAAAACAAGGGAGTAAATGCAATACCACTAACTTCGTGACCTTTTATGTCCCATGAGGTGCCCTGCCATTGATGTGACATATCCCGAAGAGTGCTAGTATGACTCCGCTTTACGGTGAATTTCTTCATGTTTTTCTTTGCACCCAACTAGGTGTACCAGAGGAGTTGTTGGGAGGTGTGCGGGACTTTCGGTTCGTTGCTTTCACATCTTTCGCTGTTACTGACTGCCCGCTCCAGTATTCACTGATTTAGATGCCATATTGGTAGACAATACATACTAAGGCTGCCATTAGTGGGGCCGGTGAAGAATACTTATATTACTCTGGTGATTAGAGTTCAACAGATATTCATCAGTTAAGCATTAAAGGCATCAGGAGTACGCCGATACGCGCTGCCACGCAACCACCATCAGTCGCGCGTGGCCTAAGGATACTGCGAGGGTCACCCGATCACCTACGCAAGCTCTAACCCGCGGCCTCTAAGGTTGCAAGACAGACGCATTGTCCTTTCTGCCACGGGTCGAGTTCAACAGGCACTTCAACGGAGCACCAGATGGTTTTCTGCTGGGGATGAAATAACGAATACGAGTAATAATTCGCACGTTTCTGTATCCTAATGTGCAGTAGCCAGATTTTCGTTCTCTGTAAAAATGTCGTTCGCACCGCAGCATTACGACCTCATCTATACAACAATAAGCTTTTGCCTCAAGGTCTCCGAGGTATTAACCCTCTTCCTAAGAAGGGTGGATAAATCCGTCCGTCTTCCATCGTATATTGCCAGGGTCACCCGATCACCTACGCAAGATCGAAGTCGCGAACTCCGCATTACAAGGCATGCTTATGATTCTTTCGGCCACAGGTCGGTAAGCATCAGAGGCTCTGGTTGAAATTACAAAATGACGAACTTTAGTAGCAATCATTTTTGTAATGCTCCATAAGCATCAACAACTGGACATGGTCATTCAATCGAAGTCGTCAGAGCGTAGTAGCAAAGTTTCTAGTCCTTACAGTAACAGTGATCAAATCGCAGTGTAGTAAACGTTATCCTGAACCAATAACTTGATATTCCTTGGACTCAGGGGCTCAGAAAAACCACGGGAGCTGTAGCAATGAGCGTAGTAACCGACGCACCGTACCGAGGCTTTGCTGTCACTCAACCACCACGTTGCGCGTGGGACAAGAATAGTACCAGGGTCGCCCGGCCCCCATGCAAGCTCGAACCCACGACCTCCGGATTACAATGCAGGCGTGTGATCCCTTCGGCATAGCCCATCTTGGGTGCTTCAATCAAACTAAGAGAACCCCCAAAAATCCACCCAATAGTCATATACGGCATGCTGGGTGTATGAGCAGGTCCAAGTGTGCACTTTGTGGAATCGTAGGGAATGTATGTTTCGGCTCTTCCAAATGCAAAGCCCTCCTCCAGTATTAGCAGACACTACCTGCTGTGTTGGATCAGGTAGATGTACTTTTGGTGAATTAGTCACATCGCAGAAGAGGTCGCTGTATGCGTTGCGATGGCTCGTGAAGCTTTTTAAAGCCTTCATCCCCCTGTAGATGCGGAGAGATGTGGGCATGTTAATTAAGTAAAATGTTTTCGACGCTGCGAAAGGGGGCCAATGTTATCGTATGGATCGGATGCTTAGACGTTACACGCGCAGCACGTCAGCAGACTGCGTTTTTTTACAACTGCTGCCTGAAGTCCTGCTCATATCCTGTAGGACAACCGAATGTGTGTGGTGTTTGGCAAGAGGCTCTTCAAAGTTGCATCAGAATGCCTGTTGAATTTGAGTTGCGCTCGTCAGCTAGAGGTCATATGCTCCCCATTAACATCAGCCGTTACTCCGCCGATTTATATTAAACTCCTGCGTGGTCAGTCAAGCCCAAAGATAAGGTTCACAGGAAATCTGAATCGGGTTGGTACTTGTCGTCATCTCAGATGGAATCCAATGAACCGATCAGATCAGTTGTTGGACATACTACTGGATATGGTAATGTCACGGAGTCAATAGCGCTACTGCATTCCTTACCTCACTTCGGGCTCCTTACTGCTCGATTCCACTTGGGACATAATTATTCTTAGGAGTACAACTTTGGCAACACATATATTTGGTAAACTGTAGTGTACATGTCAGCACACCAACTCCCGCGACGAATATTGTTCGCGAACACGCTGTGGGGGGAACAAGCAGAGGCCAGTCACTGACTAGGTTAAAAAGAATTGGAGGTCCTTACATAGAACTTCGTACCTACCCGCTCCCGGGTTCGAGACAGTTGTTGGCATAGTAAAGGGCCGAAGCCAGTGGCGTTTGTGTTGTATTTCTTTACTTTTCAAACACAAATGAGCCCCCCCCCTCTCCAATCATAGTCTCCATCATGATCCCTAATGAGAAACGGCAATGTAATTTACTTTGTTTCTGCTCTTTGTGACCATCAGATTTTTACATTGCGACACAGAAGCTGATATATTTTTGCCTCCGGCTAGCATGTAGAATCATGATGATGATGACTATATGAATCAGAGACGCGGATATGGAGCATTGTAAACATCAGCAGGTTTATCATATAGGATGACCGATAATTACAGTGTCGCCCGAGTGATGGGAGCACCACCTGACGAGCAACAAAGTTTGTTTGCTGGGGCTTCCCAACAGGCCTTCTGCCACCTAAATGATATCTGGGATAGGTGAATTGCCTACGTAATCTAAATGGCGTCCTTTTCCATTCATAACGACCGAATACCCTGGTGCGTGGTTTCCCAGAAACATATCAAAGAAGAGCTACAGAGGTGAGCAACCGCATAATATGGAGAAATAACACGAACAGACAGAAAGAGCGATGAATTCAAGTTGACGGATGTAGTTTCTTGAACGCGACATGGGGCCAAGCAAGGTAATTAGTGGAAACCTCATACTATTGGATTCAGCTACAAAGTCAGCGCACTCACTGACTTGGTCCATCGCGACGAGACTGTAGCTTAGCCCGTTGCGATGGTTTGCGTACCCCCGTGACCCATTGGGTTACGCTGGGTGGCATTTCTCAAGTGACTTCAAAGTCACTCATACCAGACAGACTAATTTAGTCTCGCAATCCAACCCACTTTGGAGGTTAATAAGACGTCCATGGCGCTCTTCCTTTGTGACTTAGCAATGGAAGACAACAGATTCACGAGTTATAAGCTCATAGCTCGATTAACGTAGAGCACATGCGCCACGCATTGTCCTGACACTGAGAGGGTACTACCCAATGGTTTGCTACCGTCTGCCTCGAACCAGACAGCCCATAATCAAATTGGTGGAAACTGTCAACTCGCACCTTTGACTAGCTGTGGTCGCACGTGCGTAACCTACTACGGTTGTAAAACATGTCGTCATCATCATCATAAATAACGTTATCTAAGTGAAGGAAACACCTCAGCCAATGTGCCGTATTGCAAAAAGAGAAGATAAAAATTACAAAATATAAAAAAGTGTGAAAAACAATATAATGATAAATATCACATAATGCATTTGGCATGAGATCGTAACTGGAGGGGGGATTTCAAGGGGAGAGGGATAGACAAAGAAACACAACACAAACGCCATTGAGGTAGGCTCCTTGTCATGCCAAATAGTTTACGCCAAACAGACGTGTTCAACGTCCGAGTAGTCTGGGTGCACCAACTGACGCCAACTTCGAAGTGAGAGTATTCATTCCTCCCAAACAAGTTATCGCTTGACCTCCCGCCTCCACTTCCATCCGCATCCCAGGAGCGCAAACACCGCGTGTCGCTGGCATGTGCAGCACATGTCCAGCTATCGGAGCCTGGTTCGTGATAAAAAGTACTGAACGTAAAACATGCGCTCTAAATCTTCAAAGGCTGTGTGTGACAGGTATCAAGCAGATTACAACGGGTCTCTGTAACCAAACTCCCCAGCTAGACTTGCTGCCTATTGCCAAAAACTCCAGAAGGAGCCCCTCAAGCGAACTTCCATGTACCCCATTGTCTTGTGGGTCAGACGGTT